CCATCCATCCATCCATCCATCCATCCATCCATCCATCCATCCATCCATCCATCCATCCATCGTTCTCTGGATCAGTGGTTCTCCCTCCTGGTCCTGATCTTCTGCTTCCCTGTTTTGGATTTCTCTCTGATCCCTCCCTCCAATGATTATGTAGACGTCGTGCTGCAGACGGCTAATCAGTCAGCTGTTTGGCAGCAAGCAGATGCCTCAGAGGCACAGAGACGTCAGGAACAGGATGAACAACACTGTCCTGCATCTCTACACCACACTAGCATAGAGACATAAAAACATTTTGTTTCCTTTCATCAGGAGGTTTTCTCCAAAATGGACGTTTCACAAACTGGAACTCTGTCTCTGGTGGAACTGAGGAATGCTTTAAAAGCTTCAGGTGTGTTTACTCAAAAATACACCATTTATTCTGCATTTAGAAGGAGTTTAGGAACCACAGCACACTCTGCAGCAGTAGATGACTCCATCTCAGTCCCGTTCATTAGCCTCAAATATGATTAAAGTTCATGTTTTCAGGTATAAGCGTCAGCGACGAATTGCTCAACCTTATGGCTGTGCGTTACGGCGCCTCCTCTGGACACATGAGCTTGGAGAACTTCATCAGCCTCATTCTGCGCTTGAGCTGCATGAACAGTAAGTGAAGCTAATTAGTGAGCATAGTGAGAGCATTAAGATGGGTGGAGAACAGGAAGTAATGAGTCAATGCTTTTTGTTTTGCTCAACAGAAATATTTGAAAAGCTCTCTGATGGGAAAAATGTTACGTTTTCCAACGATGAGGTACTAGGACACCGTATTCACAGTCCATACACACCTCTGGGTTATAATCTGATTACTAAACTGTTTCTGTGTCCTTTTAGTGGATGTCGCTCTCCATGTACACCTGAAGCAGCAGCGAGGAGCTCCTCCCCATCAGGGAATTTTCCAGAGCAGGATTTCTGCTTTTTGTTGACTGGGGGAGAAAAATCTGAAGTGTTTTAGTTTTCTTTTTTTCTGGGGGCTGTTTCAGCTGTTTCTGTCTGTCTCCCTCCTCAGTGATAATGGCAAAGAGCTTTATTCTATTGAGAACTGGTTCCTGTTTTATTTGATCTGAATATGCTCTTTATATATTAATAAACTCATATTTGTTCTGCTGCACTTCTGACTTTTAAAATGTTCCTTTACAGTTTTTATCCTTCTGCCTTCCTTTTTGAGACGCTCAACCTTTCTCACTGTGGGAGAATAAAATGTGTAGCATCACAGCAACAGAGCATGGAGAGAGAAGATGATCCTGTGGTGCTCCTCAGTCCGAGTCACTCAGGAGGGAAGACTTGGTTTGGTGACATGGCTGCCGACCTGAAGGAGCTCCCTCAGGAAAAACTCTAACATTCTTTTCATGTTGGATCTACAGTTTAGAATGACGAAGCTTACAAGGAGATGTTAGCCATTGTCCTCCCTCCTTACCTGAAGATCAGCAGCTTCTTTTCTCTTTGATTTATAGCAGTTTTTTATTCACTCTTTGTATGAACATAACTTTGGTAAAATGCTGTATTTTCTTTTCAGTTTTGTAAAAGATTTTTTTTTATGTACAAAGTGTTTTCATCTGTCTATTGTCTGTTTCTCTGTCATTAGCAGGTCATACTGATCATGTGACCACTGATCTGCACAAACTTAGCTGCGTTCACTGATTTAATTTTTAGCTAAAACAAGAGCAGACGGATCAACCTGCTGCCACGTTTTTAATCCAGTTTCGCGTTAGTTTCTCAAAGCGATGTCCAAACTGGGCCAAACTGGGCCAAATGGCAGCTTCAGAAGGCTGTAAGCTCCTGTTTGCTGTATAGAGACCACATGGGGGCGCTAAGGAGAGCCTTTAAACTGCTGACTGAGCAGCTGATCCCATCAGAACAGCTCACTGTGATGACTGGGTTCATTCTTTTAAAACATCTTTACTTTTTATTTGTTTGCTTTAAGGGGACCACTAAACTATTGTTATGGTTATTTTTCCTTTCAGTCGACTAGTCACAATTTTTATCTTTTTTCCTATATCAACTTTCTTTGATTTAAAAATGATGCAAAGGTAACTTGTTCTAATGTCCCTTTATTGCCTTTTTCTTTTCCCATAAAATGTGATTTTAAGTTTAAAATTGACTTCATTTAGGCGTATTTTTGTAACAATTTTTATTTTAATTTCTTCAGTTCAAATAATCCAAATGTATTTAAAAACAAAATTGTTTGACCCTAAAGCCTTTGCTTAGGGATTGCAAGGATTTTAAAGTGGAGTGTAAAAAGTTTCTGGTCTTTATTTTTGATTCTCAGTGAATCTCAGCATAATGAGACAGAAGATCAGCTTTTCAAGTTTTTATCTCTGTTTGGAAATCTTCATCTTTTATTGTCAGTTTTCAACTAAGATCCTTAATCATCATCATCATCATCATCATCATCATCATCATCATCATCATCATCATCATCATCACCTCAGTCTCCTCAGACACGCATGACAGCTTTCGCCTACAGGAGCTGACGTGATCTATGGCGCCATCTTGGGGAGGTCGAAGGCTCTGCTCAGTGTGATGTGTTGAACAGGAACAGAATCAATTTCAATCAACTTTAACTCACTGAAAACTTTGAATCAATCTGACTGGATGATCTGGTTGAACTGTAAAGTGCCTGAGATGACATGATTTGAATTGGAGCTATAGAAATAAACTGAATTTAATTTAATATTTAACTAATTTTTTTAAATGGTTCTTTGTAT